GAACAGTTGCTTAGCCTTCCTTTCAGGAGGCATTCGCAACATATGCCCAAGCCATCGCAGCTGTGACTTCTCAATCTAGAGAAGCAAAGGCTGTATTCCAAGACTTTTCTGGATGTCACTATTCCGGACCATGTCGAGACGCGTAAGGCTAGCGACTTGTTTAAGAAAGCCCATTTCAGCAGCTTGTACCTGGGTTCGAAGTTTTTCAGTGATGGTCCACGATTCATGACCGTAGGTAAGTATGGGGATAAAGATCGAACACTGTAGATTAGTTTCTGAAAATGCCAATAAAATAAGGCCGTCTCCAAACAGCAAATTTCTCATCTCCACATCTTCTACACCGATACACTCATCGTCTTAGCTGCTTCTGACTATTCAAGCCATGTACAATACAAGCAGGACAGGTGACAGAACGCAGCCTTGTCGGAGACCAGTGCCAACGGTGAAGACTTTCGACTTAACACGATTTACTCTGACGCAGCATCTGCTAACAGAATACAGTGATTGGATGACCCTTAGCAGCTGGCCATCTATCCCGTATCCTCGAAAGCATGCCCGCAGACTTTTGCGCGAGATCCGGTCATAGGCTTTGTCTAGGTTAAGAAAGCATACGTACACCCGATGGGCGAACTCCCACGATTTGTCGATAATCTGGCGTAGGGCAAATATATGGTCAGAGGTGCTTCGACCGAGCCGGAAGCCACAGTGCTCTTGTATTTTGTCATAGTACTTCCATTGTAGCACCTTTGCGTATTCTCTACCTGGGAGGCTCAATAAGGTAAGGCGCCGATAATTGGAGCACTTCCTGAGATGTCCCATTTTGAACAGGTATGCAAAAACCCCGATTCTTCAGTCCACTGGTGTCGTTCCCGTAGCCATTGCAGTTTAACAGACACGTATATGCCAGCACATGCCTTGTTCGCCTAATGCTTTGAGCATTTCTTTGCTGATTTTATCATTTCCAGCAGCATTTCCAATTTTCAAGCTTTTCACAGCTTGTAATTTCATGTACAGGTAGAATAATATCCATTCCCTGCTCTACAGGCGAGTTTTCTTGCGGTTGCTCAGGGTTAAGGAGTTCCTCAAAATACTGTCTTTATCCTTGGTAAGAGGGTTTGCAGACCTGTCCTTCAAGACTCTGGGACTGCCCTTCTTCGCACCTCGGTGCCGGCGAATTGTCTGCCAGAATGCCTTGTTTTCCGTCTGGAAATTCGACTCCGGCACCTCACGGAGTGTCAGGGATCGGCTTTGGCTTTCGCCACTCCTTTCGCTGCTGCTTTGGGTGGTTCGATATATCGTACTCGAGTAGAAGACTCTTTGTTTCCAACCCATTTTTTGATTGTAGCTTTCTTTTTAACTGCCAGTTGTATCTCTCGTGTCCACCTTGAAGTTCTCTTCTGATCTCCAGGAGGCAGGCCAGCCCGTTTAAATTCGCAGCAGTCGTCGACAGCCTCGATTATGCCGCTCTTAAAGAGCTGTCACTCGGTTTCCACATCAGTTGTCATCACCGCAGTCTGTTCAAACCGTCGTGCGATGTTGTCCGCAAATTTCCTTCTCGTGTCCACCGGAGATAGTTTCTCGTTTCGCTCTCAGGTTGCTTCTGCCACCTTCTGAAGAGATGGCGATGTTATTTGCCAGATTTGCCAGAACTGTTATAATTGTTGATCTGGATGTTTTAGATAAACATCTTGGCGTATAGTTGCAGAACATAAACGAAAGAGCAAGCGACTAGTGACGGGCCAAGAAGATCATCCCCTTAGCTGAAGTAGTTGAAGGAATGGTGCTAGAAGCTCTATTGGTCCAAAGAGTGGCCAAGAATATGAGCAAGGGCTTTTGAGTAGAAACGTCCAAGGTTTGAATAAGCCTAATCAACCGCTTTGAAGTGTACAAGAAATGCGATCATAGAGTGGCAGCAATAACCGACAGCGGACAAAGGCATGATAGCTGCGCAAAGAAAGTATTGTTTGATTGGTTGGAACTTACCAAACGACCGGCACGGGATTCCACAAAAGCTTTATCGGTCAAACCACATTATTTGGCGAGTCTAGTCGAAATCTGGTCCATTTTTGACTCATTCCGCTGTTTATCTAGTTTACTGTTGCAGATAGGCAAAAGTCATCTCGATAGTCGCAGAAGTTGGTCACCGGGAAGTAAATTTCTAAAATTAAAGATAATCGTATTCGATAGAGTAATGAAGTTGAAGATCAAACAGTTTCAATTTGTTGCCCTGCGTGCGGCTGCCCATCAGTCGTTAATAAACTTAAAGTGTCGTCTTTACTCATCTTATTAAAATCAGATTTGTAACGTCATATTGGCTCTGCTCTAGAAGATGGATTGTTGGCGCGAAATCGCTGTTCTCCCTGCGTAAGTTCGTCCATACGTTTCGCTGCTTCAGTATGTATTTCTTTTGTAATATGTCGACTTATTCGTTTTATAGAACGGCTCGTATTTTCGTGGGGAAGTGGGTTCCAAACTGCTGCTGCTGTTTCTTTATCGTAAGTT